TACTCTTGTCCCTCCTGGCTGCAAGGATACAGTGCTGGTTCATAGTCAACTTATCATCCACCAATACTCCCAGGTCCTTCTCAGCTGAACTGCTCTCTAGTAGGTCAGCCCCCAACAGTCCTGCTGCCATGGGCTTCGGAAAGAGGAAATACACCAACACCCTGGAAGAAAATCTTACGATGCTACTCACAGGTCCAGCATGATACAACAGCAGAGCAAGACGACTGTGAAAGATAATCCTCGTGGTAACATGTGTGCATTACGCTCTGGGTGAATTCCCAATTAATTGCAATTTTGTATGGAAATACTCTTCCAATTATATAAACAGAAATTACCAGCAATAACAAAACATAATGCTTGGCTTCAGCTGATGCCAAATGTTTAGACACTTTAGTGGACACCTGTCTCAATATTTGTTTCAGCTGTCACTTGGTAGGACTGTTACAGATTTTATGTTTCATCTGTTAATTCTGAAATATTTGCCATTATGATGCCCTAAGCAAAGCTATTGGTTGCTCACTCTTGCCTTATTTATATCACTAAAGCTGAATTCCAGCTCACAAAAACATGCCAAGATCACTGAATTTAAAGAGTTAATTCATAGAATCATAGTGCAGTTTGGGTTGGAAGGGACCTTAAAGATCACCTAGTTCCAGCTCACTGCCATGGGCGGGGACACATTCCACTAGACCAGGTTGCCCAAAGCCCCATCCAACCTGGCCTTGAACACTGCCAGGGATGGGGCAGTTACAGATTATCATTTAAAACTCTGAACCAGAACAAACAAGCCCCGAAACCCATAAGCAGCAGCCTATTATTATAAAACATACCTAGAGGCCTATATTTGCTGTCAGACAAGCTGTAATACTTCCTCTAGGAATTGCTCTAAATCTGGGCTAATCATTTGTAATATGAAGTGGTGACAGGAATATCATAAACAGAACAATCCAAATGACACATACACAGAATATTTTCCTGGTTTGAAATGTGCCAGAAAAGAGACTGTTGTGAAGCTATATATGGATATTCTGTAAGTAAAAATCTTGTCTGCAAGTAAAATTTTGTTATTTTTTTCTTTAGTTTTAAGGACCGGATGAAAAACTAAAACTCAGTCCTTCATTGAGTCTTAAAGGAGAATGTAAACATATTATTTTGGTTCTTACTTAAGTTAGAATATTTCTATAGGTTTAATGAAACTGTAGCTCATCTACAGATGAAAATACAAAACCTGTAGACCCCAGAATTTCTGGTTGCCATCTGACATCTAACTTCTCTTCATAATCTCACTTTTGTGAGATATCTACAACATCAAGTATTTTCCCTTTATAAACTAGACTTCAAATAAAGCAAAATTAACTCATGGGAATTGAATCTAATAAAGCAAGGAGTAAAATGACAGCATCACCTAACAACTGAGACTTCATGCTCAAATCTCTTGTGGAGCAAGAGCTTTGTTACCAGGAGAAAAACTGATTCTTACTTTGTATAATATTTCATCCACTGCTAAAGCTGAATATTGTATTGCCATTTTAAGACTGTGGATCACAGAGAAAGCAACAAGATATAGAATTTAGATAAAGCTGAGCTATTTCATATCTTTAGCAGTTACCTTCACATTTAAATGCAGAATTACATAAGGCTGGCATTTGGATGCAAAAATGTTCTCTTACCACTTCTCCAAACAACAGGGAAGTTTGTGTAATTACAGGAGATTTGCTGGCTGGTTTGCCACCTGCAGCGATGCCAAACAAGAAGGGGAACAGCCATCATGCATCTGTGACAGGTCTGCATGCTGGTGAGTTCAGAAACAGTCTATACAAAGAAGTCAGGGTACTACAGTAATATAGTATGCTACACTAGTTATGATAGCATTGCAAAAACAATAAAAAAGGTAGTTTTAAAGGTAATTCACTGGTCTTATCATATTCAATGAGTCAAGCAGGTATTTCATTCCCCGGTTGTCGGAAAGAAGGAAGTAAAAAACCAAGGCACCACCAAAATACAACTAACCTTCTTCCAACTTCTTAACCTTGACTTCCTGCAAGCCCATCTGAGAGCTCCACAAGTGAACTTGGTCTGACTCAGGAAATCACATTTCAAGTCAAACACATCCTACCCCAAGGTGAATCATTAAGGAAGACCAATGACAGGAAAATAATTGAAAGTCTGGTTTTGCTCTTTGCACCATCTGGAAACAATCTCCATTTGGAGAGCACATGTACTTTTTTACATGGTTTCCATGAGCCTCCTCCTCATCAAACATATCAGTATGCTTACCACAGTAAGTAAGCATCCTGGGGAATTCTTCTTATCCTGCATGTAGCCAAATAAAGGCTAACAGAGACAACATCATCACTTGATTGCATGCAGGTTTATACAATTCCATAGCTTTTCTCAACTCTGTCCACTCAATAAGCTAAATATTTTCCTGAGATTCCTACACCAGTAAGTACACTATCAGCTGTGCTCCCCGACTGTGGTGCCCTGATTCACAGGAGCTGCAGTTCTCCTGGCTTACACTATTCTTTCCCTTAGTCCAATAACCCTAACTGAACTACATCCAATCTGCCCCTTAGAATGTGATTCACCCAAGCGTTTCTCTTCTTTTTGAAATGTGTGACTTCTGTGCTGTCCTTAACACAGCACTGTCTAGTGCTAAGTTCAGGACATGGTGTGCTGGTTTTGGCTGGGGTAGTTTTGTTCATAGTAGCTGGTATGGGGCTATGTTTGGATTTGTGCTGTTTTCAGTGTTGATAACAAGAATGTTTTAGTTATTGCTGAGTAGTGATTACACAGCATCAAGGCCAACTGTGTTCCTCATACTGCCAAGTGAGTAGGCTGGAAGTGCGGAAGGGAGGGGACACAGGCAGGGCAGCTGATCTCAACTGACCCAAGAGATATCCCATACCATATGGTGTAAGGCTTGGTGTATAAAGCTGGGGGAAGGAAGGGGGGACATTCAGAGTGACATTCATCTTCCCAAGTAACTGTTACACATGCTGCAGCCCTGCTTGCCTGGAGATGGCTGCCTGCCTGCCCCTAGAAAGTGGTAAACGAATTCCTTAGTTTACTTTGTTTGTCCATGTGGCTTTTGCTTTACCTGGTAAACAGGCTTTATCTTAATCCATGAGTTTTCTCACTTTTACTCTTCCAATTCTCTCCCCCATCCCACTGGACTGGGGGAGGGGGGACAACAACAACAGTGAGCGAGTGGCTATATGGGGCTCAGTTGCCAACACATAGCCCAACACTGCAGACCAGAGCCATGGGGAAAGACTCAGACCCCACCACAGATCCTGTACTACATGGCATACTGGATATCGTGGTCTGTGATCCAGGAGTAAGGTGCTGCTGCAATTATCACGGTCATTGTTATCTAGCAAGAGCTACTGCTTCTTCCAGGAATGTAAAGAGAAGGGAGAACATAACAACACTTCAGACAGTTCTTTGCTCCTGCCACATCAGACACATTTAGACCCCACTGCTTCTGCATGCAATGGACCAGAACATGTTGGTTTAAAGTCAGAGTGCTAGAAAAGTGGCTTTGGAATGGTTTTGAAAAGTGCTTCCAGTGTCATATTTCATTTCTCCGCTGCTTCAATTATTTCCTTCCTTTGTGCTTCAGATTCCCTGAGCTCTTAGAGAGTTCTCATGGTTTATTCACTCTTACCCCTAGACCTCTTTGTCTTGCAATCCACTTCTATGTCATTGCTCTCACCTCCACGTTTCATCTTCAGTAACTTTGTTTAAATCTTGCCCTTTCTTCAGTATGATTTGGAATCAAAATCTTGTCTCAGTACATTAGTTTCCACACTGTCAGTATATAAGCTAGGCATGAACCAACAGGATTTCTTGGTCAGAGCTTGTAAAGCAGATACTGAATTTTACAAGTGCTTTGCAGTTGACAGGTATGAATTATGACACTAGTTCCATGACTGAGTAATAATTACAATTTCTGCTAAGTTCATAGAATCATTTAGGTTGGAAAAGACCTTTAAGATTACTGAGTCAAACCATTAAACCATGCCTGTAAATGCCACATCTACATGTCTTTAGAATACCTCCAGGGATGGTTACTCAACCACTTTCCTGGGTAGCCTGTTCCAACACTTAATAATCCTATCAGTGAAGACATTTTTCCTAATATCCAATCTAAACCTCCACTGGCGCAGCTTGAGGACATTACCTCTTGTCCTATCACTTGTTACCTGGGACAAGAGACGAACCCCCACCTCACTACAACCTGCATCCAGGTAGTTGTGGAGAGCCCCTGAGCCTCCTTTTCTCCAGACTAAGCCACCCCAGGTCCCTCAGCTGCTCCTCATAGGACTTGTGCTCCAGACCCTTCACGAGCTTCATTGCTTTTCTCTGGATGTGCATTTAAATTTAAAAGTTTAACCTTTTAAAAATAGTCTACGACAGCAAATCATCACCTGCTCAAGGTGCTGACAGACATTCCTGTTATCTGATAAGCAGAAACCCTCCTGTTCCAATATGATGAAACATTTTCTACTTTTACTCCTTACTTTAAAAAAAGAGGGAAAGGACAGTATGGCCTACAGAGCCCTAAAAACCTACACCTACCTGTGAAAACCTCCACGATAACTTCCCAGAAAGTTATTCTTCAAACTAACACTCAATCTGAATCAGTACAAAAAGCATGGAAAGGAGGACTAGGGTCTGACCAAGAAAAGAAGTAGTATGTAGTATGGCGTAATATGTAGTATTATGCCACAGTAACATGGAGAGGAAGCCATTCAGGTCAGGAAAGTGTAATCTCTCTTCTGAGATTCGGAGTTCTGACTCCGAAGACCCTCTGTGTCATAAAAAAACCATAAAACCTTCTGGACAATTTGGAACAAACCAAATAATTTTCATGGTTTGAAAATGCTGCATCATGAACATTTGATCTCATTGAGGATCACGAAGAGTATCCTAGGAAAGAAAGTTTTTAAACTTTTCAACTTATACAAATGCATGTTAGACAAGGCATTACCAAATTTCAAAAGTATATACATACTTTACTATACCTTTTCCAAGTCAATAAAAAAAAACCCAAAACCATCAAAAAACAAAAGAATGAAAAATACAGGAGAACTTGTAAACTGGAAAATAAGATGCATAGGAATTGGGAAACCTTTCCATATTGTACAGATCTTCATGCACTAGGCAGTCCCAAAGTCAACCACAGATTTGGTTATGTACACAGGCCTAAACATTAAGTGGCAGCATTTTATTACTGTATATGTTTCTTCTTTTTAATCATCTGAGACTGCCTTAGCTCCTCAGTCCCATGAGCATATGGGCAAGATTCAGAAGGCAAAGAACAACCATCAGGATGATGAATGAAAAACCAACAGAGACGTGTTTTAAATGCTTCAGCTGAAAGGCGCCGTTTCACTTCAGGCTTAGTTTTCCTCGACAATTTCTCTTTTCTCCAGTCACGAATATGAACTCTCCCATTTAGAACTAAGATTCAGAAACAAACAAAAATGCAGCTGTTAATAGATAGCCATGGGAATTATACTGGAAAAAATGCACAGTGACAGTCTGTGAATAAAATATATGTTCTACAAATGGATCACTCAGGCAAAACCAAATGCGCCATTTCTACATGTAGGAATAAAAAGAAGCATACAACCAAGATGATATAGACATGGTCTAAAGAAGAATTGTTTTCCCTGGGAGATGCTTTACTGTGAATAGTTTGAGGCACATTTGTGTCATCTTTGTAGATGTTTGTTTCAAATACAGCAATTAGAAGCATTGAGACTAAAATCCTCTGAATTTAGACTGCAAATCCTGACAAAGAAGTTTCAACTTCAAGAACTGTAATCCTTCCCATGTCCAAAACTTCATTACTCCGCATTTGAAATGTGATTACCAGTAAAAATCTAGTAAGTCTTCTGTTACTTTCACTACATAGAAATGCTCTTGCAAAGACAATAGTCCACTGACCCAAAAAATATACTGCATCAAGGAAACGACAAGTCTTAATCCTTCATATGAACCAACAGGGAATTATCGTTCATCACTTCAGGCTTTTTAATTCATTTGCTGCATTAGGACCATAAACTGCACACACACACATTTGTGAACCTTTGCCAGCTCCTTAAATGTGTAAACAGAACAGAATAAAAGGAAGTTAGTGAGAAAAAAAAAAAAACAGTAGCTGAAAAACAGCAGTGAAAATGAGGAGGGAAGAATCTGCCACTTCTAAGTTGCCATGCTCTATGTTCATATCAGTCATACCTTCTGTATCACACACTTGTATCAGTTAACTGATACCACTGTGCATTCCGATAACTGCTATTCCAAAGGTAACAAGTCAAGTGAAAGCTTAATATCACACATTCAGGCCCGGACGAATTCATCCCTCAAGACTTCCTTGTGATATACAAATAGATATGAACTCACAGAAAGGCAATCCAGCAGCAGGTTCAGCTTTAACATCTCTCAAAAGATGAAGAAAAGTGAGCAGATGTAGTGCTATTTATGATCAAGCCTATTTTTTCCTAGAAAACCAGTCCTGTATTGGACAAGATGCCAGATCAAAAGAAACTGCCACAGATGAGCCACCCTAAGCCCCTGGTTTTGGGTGTGTGTGTATCCATCTGTTTTCTTTAACTTTAAAGGAAATACACTTCAGAAAAAATGACAAAAAAGCTGCAGCCATGTTCTTCTCTGCTGTCTTTGCATGAACAACGTCCTTCTAGACCACTTGCTGATAGAAGTCCTTGTTATGGTGACATGCTGAAGGAAAGAATCAAATGGTCTCTACTGAAGCCCCAGGGAGCATCCTTCAGCATACATTTGATGTAAATTACTACAGAAGATGTGGCCTTAATCCTAGTCTTTCTTCAGAGGTAATGTGCAGACAGCATCCATGCCAAATTAAAATGCTTACTCCATTTAACAGGTAGTAAATCTATTCTACCTATCCCTAATGACAGGGAATGAAATTCAGACACATAATGAACGCGATGTGACCAGCTCTTTTCAATGGATGGTAATTCAAATGGATTTCAGTATAGCTTCACATTTTGTAATTGCCAAGTTTACAGAAATCCTTAGTGGATGCTAAACATGGCTAGGTTGACCACTGGAAGCAAGCAGAGGTTGCATACTCAGGATTACTTGCTGTTGATTATCAACATTTTATAATAGGCATAGAACTGCTGGGACACAAGAAGTTAGAATCATAAAATCACAGAACAGTTTGGGTTGTAAAGGACCTTAAGATCATCTAGGTCCAACCCCTCTGCCATCAGCAAGGATGACTCACCCTAGATCATGTTGCCCAAGGCTCTGTCGAACCTGGCCTTGAACACTGCCAGGGATGGGGCATTTATCAGTTCTTTGGGTAACCTGTTCCAGTGCCTCAGCACCCTCACTGTGAAGAACTTCTTCCTTATATCTAATCTAAACTTCCCCTGTTTAAGTTTGATCCCATTACCCCTTGTCCTATCACTACACTCCACTCCCTAATGAAGAGTCCCTTTCCAGCATCCTTGTAGGCCCTTTTCAGATACTGGAAGGCTGCTATAAAGTCTCCACAAAGCTTCTCTTCTCCAGGCTGAACAGCCCCAATTTTCTCAGCCTGTCTTCGTATAGGAGGTGCTCAAGCCCCCTGATCATTCTTGTGGAAGTTAACCCACTTCCAAATCTGAAGCAGCCTTAATACCAATAAATCCTTGAAGATCTTGTATCACTGCAAAGCTAGACCTTACTTTTGAAAAACAAATAAAAATAAAAGCAAACAAAAACCCCACAATAAAAACCCAAATCAACCAACCAAAAACACACACGAAAAAAACCACACAGCCCACACCACCACGATGGGGAAAAAATGCCCCAAACACACAGACAAGCAACAAACAACAACAGTTATTGGCAAACCCAGCCAGTCACAGAAACTTGCTACTGGGTTCTTTTCTGCCATGCCACCACAATCTATATAAGCACATAAAGCCTCACAGTAACAGGTTCTTACAAAGACTGGTTTTATTTTATGTCAGCATTTACACTGTGGATCTTGATAAGGCCAGACTATGTCTTAATTAATTGCTTCAGTGAACTTGCTCTGCATTTGATGGCCCGAAAATTATCAATACTCTATAGGAAAAATAAAAATTCCCTAAGCCAAACAAAAGCTTCAAATTAGCCACCTTAAAGCATTTTTTTTTTTTCAGATGCAGTTGGTCTAACACAATGCTTTGCCAATAACGTGCCATACCAATGTCATTCAAAAGAGTTCTAACAGCATCTTGGCACAATGGGCACATAAATAATGTACAGTTTTCCACAAAGGTATAGAAAGTGGTTAAAAAAACACCACCACAGTAATTTTCCAGTTGTGTTTAACTGCATATAGAAGAGATAAAATAAATGATTAAAAAAACCCAGACAAAAATCAAGCCCTCTTCTTTACCTTCAAATACTTGATGATTGTTCTTGAGAAGTGTCTGCAGGCCTCCATATTCACTCTTCAGCCTTTTTAAAGTGTCTTTATTTAAGTGTTCTGCTACTTCTTTCAAGGAAAGGCTTTCTGCAATAAATAATGGTGTAGCTATTAAAAATGTATGTACATGTAGAAGTTAAATTTTCTTAGGACTTTACAAGTTAACGATTATGAGCACAATCTATGAATTATTTACCAGTACTTCATCAACTTTGTACTCCTGATATTATGCATGACATATTTTATATGTATATTGTCTGTAAAATAGCAGCTTTCATTCTACAGGACTCAAGTCAGAATTTCCACAATAAGACAGACACATTTTTTATTTTCCCCTCTTTTTTTTGTAGTAGCATATAACCCTTGTTGCAATAGGCACTATTTACATGCATGTATTTTGAGAAAAGAGAATGACTCAAAGGATATACGGAAACAGTAACACATGAGAAACAACAGTGAGTAAATAATAATGATGGACAGAGGCAAATGGAAAGATGGTAGTACTAAGAATGCTTATAAAATTAGTAACTTCTGTTCTTTTTCTTCCTAAGACTAAACTAAAAATTCCTAATCATGTCAGAATCAAATGGCAGTTCAAAGCACTTCTTACACAATTCTTACAAAATTATAGCTAACTATTATGTTAGAAAACTAAATATTCTCCATAGATAAATGTAGATGTTCTGTTTTAGTAAAGAGGGAGGAGTTCTGGGTTTGGTTTGGCTTTTGTAATAAGAATCGCTGAGCAAAAAACCTCCACACAAATTTCAAAATATTCTTATATGCCTTATTAGCATGCTAGTTTGCAAGAAAACATTGCAGAATAAAAGTGCCTTTAATTGCTACTGTACGGCTCTTGGTATTGCTGATAAACTATTTCACTGAGTTTAAAAACTATGTCAATTCATTGGAAAATACATCCTCTACCAGAAAAAGATAATGTAAAGCAAAGACAGTTTCACCTCCTTGATTCCAGGTATTTGTATTTCCATCATGCATATCAGAACATGACTTTGGGGGGGCTGCATTTAACAGCAAGTTTGCCACACTGAGAACCACATCATCTACAAAATCCCGAGGGAGGGAAGCACAATTTCGGATTTGTTCTACTTTTTCTCTGGGTTGAAATCCAGGCATCCAAATTGTACCACCAGTGTCAGTCTCATTTTCAGGAAGTTCTGAGCCTGCTTCTCTGCACACATTGTCACAGTGATCCTTATGATTACATGCAACTTTGCTGCCACACGGGACCACAGCACAGGTCTGACGATTATTAATATACTGTGTTATCTGCTTGTCAATCAGAGCATGTTCTGTAGGTGGATAGGTCCTGCTTTTTCCAATAAGGCTTACCTATTTAGTAGAAACAGATAAATAACTATTTAAACAGACTCCCATACACACAGTCCCCCAACACGCACGTCTTATGCAGGCTTCTAAATCTACCTACAGGAGATATCCATGCAAACTCAGTGCTCATTAACATCTAGGGTTTCTTGATTCTAGCTTTCAAATATTGGTGCCACAGAAGAACTGCAGTAATCAAACCATAAACCATCATGCCACAAAATCACAGACCAGAAAGACTGTTTCTGACCCTCAGAATCTTTACAAAATTAAAGCTGGATGCCTCTTCCTACTCTGAGGACATTTCACTTTGAATTTCATGGACATGGAAAAGAGAAAAATTAAGTACAAATATGCAACATAGGCAGCTGGGAAAATTAGGGCAAAAAATTAGCTTTGTAAGTTTTCAATCCTACAACCTGGCAAAGAACTAATCATAAACCCTTCCTTTTCTAAGTATTTATACTCTCTCTGCAGAGCATATTGTCTCAAGTAATGCAACTGACAATAGTCTGATCTTGCAACAATAATGAACAAACATCCATATGCTTCAGACAGCTAGCAGCTTAAAAAAATAATATTAAAAAGACAAAAGCCCTACATAGTCCAAAATTACCCTTTTTGTTGATGGAATTCTAAGGCAATCTTCTTCCACATTAAACCCGCATACAAATCCCACTTGGGCAATAAAATCAAGATATTCTCTGTACTGAGTTTTCCTGCTTTGTCTTCGGCTGTATTTTCCATGGAAATCAAAGAAGCAACAAGGCAGCACAAAGTAGCGACATGAATAGGAAGACCTACAAGAAGGATAACAAACTGCTGAACAGAATGTTTCTTCAGAGAACACACAAACTTAGCAAATAACTCATTAGATACAATAATGGAAATTTTCATTTCAAGTGACAGAACTTCAGAACACAGCATTTTTATGTTCCTCTTTCAGAAGATCTATTATCAGAATCAAAAATACTGTTTCACAAAGTATTTGCTATAGCAAATTACTGTGCCAAGTTGATTTGCAGGACTAATGCTGTAGATATTAAACTATTGCAGCTGATTGCAAAGGGCATAATGGTTCAAAGTAAGGCAGAACCAATAGCAATTTAAAAAACAAACGAACGAAGAACAAAAAAAACCCCACACCACAAAACCAAAGAACAGATTCACATCAGTTCTGGGGTTTGAACTTGAAAAGCAAAATGCTGCACTGAATTCTGTAAGAAAGTAAATACTACATCTGTGCTTCTCCACAGGAAATGAAATTTTGTAAAAATAATTAATTGCCATCAAAAGCAGCAAGGATGGAAGATGTGGCAGCAAAGTAACAGTTTACGCCAAGCCCACATATGTAATTATGCTTTGGTTTGTTTACTTCTTTCTTTAATTCCCTCCCTCCCACTTCATACCCTCTGTAGATACCTAGCTGCAATTACAGGTATCCACGGTGTTAATTCATCTGAATGGTTTCCTATGAGCCAGTCAGTATCAGGAAAGAGATGACTGTCACCTGGCATGATTGTAGATTCCTAAAAAAAACAACCAAGCAATACATTTAGTGAACCATATTACAGGTTTCTTTTAATTCATTTGTTAATAAAGAACTAAGCAACAATATAAAATGATACAAGCTTACAAATACAAGGTAAATGAGAAGCACAGACAGCAATGTTTTTCCTCAATCCGCAATTTAACCAGGTAGTAATTTTTTATACCTACAAAGAAGTAATCTAGTGACACTGGTTGGACAAAGAGCACAATAACAATTCTGATTAAGGTATCTGGTACCCTAAATATTTGTAAACAAGTATCATACATTGGATTAGGATTGTTTGCTATTCTCCTTCTGACACATGGATGCCTGGACTTAAAATTTGTCAGAAAGACACTTCATTCAGTATGTCTTACAGACCTAGGACTCACATAGCAACTAATCAAAACACAGCTTTACTACTATCTTCTCTTCATTCACAGACTCCACCCAAATCAATTCCTAATAGACAGAACACCACTCTTCACACCCTATCATTCATGTAGAATAAACAAACCCAGCCTAACACTTTCCCTCCTATGTTGCCATTCCATCCCCTGCCGAGTTACATCAAAACTATCTTATGATACATGCGAAATCAGGAGCAAAAATAGTACACAATAGGTTAGAGAAAGAAGGCTTCTGTGGTGGCCTTTGGAATAGTATTTTGCTTCATGGAATTTCAATATAAATGGATTGAGGAGGCACCAGCCCAGAAGACTTCTCATCTCTGTACTGACTCACAGAACATCTTCATACATTGAAACAAGTTCAGCAAAGTAAGTACTTAAAGATTTTGATACTATGGAAGTACATGCTCTTCTCCAAAAACCTGTATGAATCTCAGAATAATTATGGGCAGATTTGAAAAAAAGTTTTAAGCTAACTCTCCAGAGACCTTTAGGAAAAGCCCTGAAAATGATGCCTGCACTCTCCTTCTATAGGCAAAACGCGTGTTTCATGAGTCCAAAATTCACATCTACATACAAAGTAGAATCTGTATAGGAATTAAAAAATACCAACCAAGCACCAAAAAACCCAAACAAAGCCAAAAAACACTTACTAGGGAATTTCAGAAAACTCAGACTACCTCAATTACATCGCAATTTCCCTCTTCGGAAAGCACTGTTAGGTGTTTTAAGTGTTAGTATGGCATATTATTGCTCATTTTAAATACAGTATGTCTAACCATTTTTATTTATGTATATATACTTTTAGATATTACATGTAACATTTCTTTCTGGCAGGTTAGTAGATGTTACATCAAATGTTGGGTAAGAGTTTTCTTACGGTTGATTAAGTAAGTTACTCCTACGTTACAGTTCAGTTTTGATTGTTCAATTTAGGCATAGCACAAATTATCAGTGCCACACTCCACATTTTGACAATCGCCCATAATCAAATTTGTATTCGCCATGTCTGACAGCAGTTTGGCAATGCAGAATGCCACCTGTTACATTCATTTATATTGTTAGTATTGGCACTGAATGTCACAGACAGCAATATTCATCCTGCGACTCATGCTTTAAGTAACGATCACAACTAAATTAGCTTCAAAGACTAACAAAAAGCTGTGAGTAGGTGCTTCCTCATTCTGCAGCTCCTGTGGCTACAGGAGCTTTGCAAAACCATTTCACCCTTCCTGTTCACTATATAACTCCTTCCCTCATAAATTAGTGCTTTCTCCATATGCATATTTTGGGTATTTTTATTGTTTCTGTCTGGATTTTTCAAGTATTCTCTGAAGTATTTTTTTCTTTTAAAAAAGATAAATAAAATATGTCCTTTTCTATATTGTTGCCTCATGCTGCAGAGAGGGACAGCTGATGCTCAGAAGCTTCCTTATGAGTCAAGAAATCTGAGAAACTGTAAACAGACAGACCTTAATACAAAACAAATGTACAAAATTCAACAATCGCCGTAATACTGAAACATGGGCAGAAAAACAAATATATAACATGAAGGAAAAAAGATACTGTTTGGTATGATCAGAAGTAACATAATACAGTACAGCAGTGAGACACTGGCACAAGGCCCCCAGAGAAGCTGTGGCTGCCGCATCCCTGGCAGTGTTCAAGGCCAGGTTGGATGGGGCTTGGAGCAGTCTGGTCTAGTGGAAGGCTTCCCTGCCCATTGCGGGGGGGTGGAACTGGATGAGCTTTAAGGTGCCTTCCAGATTCTGTGATTCTATAATTCTGTAAGAGGAATGAAGACACACCACAGCTTGATGTTTCGAATCGTTTCTTGAAGCCTTGCAGTAACGATCTGATTGCACACTGCTGGAAAGGAATCTGTCAGTTTTGGCAATCTGTACCCAAAATGGCAGGGTGGCAAAGAGGAGGCTGCATAAGGCTGTGAAAGCTCCACCTCCCATCTGTGAAAACTGCTGCTCTTTTGTTGATTTAATATTAAGTTGTTAGCATTCAAAGATATCTTGAATTAACTTTTCAACAGAATAACTAGAGAACAATTACAGGTGGAAAATTCTAACATATTTGACGCTGACAATTTTTGAGAGAACAGAGCGAGAAATTTTAGGAGTCTAGAGAACAAGAAGCCAGGAATACCTTGCCTCCAAAGGGCAACTATTCATCAGTACCACATTTTGACACGTATCTGACCAAGAACACCTGGAGTTAGAGAGAATGTTCCTGTGCTCATAAAAATGCTAATGTGGAACTTGAAATATAATCCCTCGTACAGACTCATTTTCCTGTTCATTTTTTATGAAGGCTATCATTGCTATTATTTACCATAAGATCAATACAGCAGAGAGTGGCTCCTTTGAATTCAACAATTTTTGTCCCCAAAACAGCACATAGCACTAGAAGGTCAGAACCACTTTCAAGAATAAACTGCTCACAACTCTGGATATTAGCATCTTTTATGAGGTACAGTGGTGCAAACAAAGCTGCTTAATACTGAACATCCAGTAAAATCAGAGGTTGTTTCTTGGTGTGCATGTCTCTACATGCAGTAGGAAATCAAGAAAGTCTTCTCAGCTGAAAAATAAGTAAGTTGCAAATATACAAGAGTATGATACAGCATTGCTCTCCTAATTCCCTTAACAATTTACAGTCCCGTAAGATAATGCGTGTCACCATCCCAAACCCACAGATCACTTTAGAGAACTGTCTGCAACCTGCTATGTTTGATTACATTTGCATCAACAGAACCTGAAGCAATGAACAAATGAATAAAGTTACAAATCAGTAAAATTGACATACATTTGCATAATACCTCTAAATGAGTTCCTGGTCCATACATATTCCATATTTTTCTTCTCCTCACATCAATTCCTCTACCTGAATGCTGAAATATTTGACCAAGAAAAAGATTAATTTTTAAGTACTACTTTTAGCAAAAACTGTCAAACAGCCTCACTAAATGTACATATTAATACTGATTATTTCATTCATACTAAAATTTAGACACATAATAAAACACAGCCTCACCATTTCAGGCAGAAGCTTTTTGTTTGCTTGCTTTTAAAATATCAAAACCTTTCCCAAGGTGAGTATTGCTGTAGCACCCACGGGGCTCAGGGAAGAATGCTACTCTAAGCAGTTCTTGCTGGAAAGCCACCCTCCAACTACTGAAGTTAATTAGGCTGCTGGAGTCCAAACACACTTTTCCCTGGGTGAACTGATGAGAAAAGAAAATAGGACTGGAAACTAAAGCAAGACATAAAAATGCATAAGTTATAGTATTTGAATTACAAGAATCCTGTGCAGAACTAACCGAAAATCAGGTGCTAAGTGTCATAAAACTCTCACAAGAGATTTCTAGCCAGTCACCAGTTTGTCAGTGCTACAGCAGTGATGTATGAAAAGAAACCTTTACAGGGAAAAACAGCATTTTAGATTAAATAAATAGCATTTAATAGATCGAATTTCTCTGGCCACACAAGGATAGAGAACTTGTATTAGGAGAACTTGGGACTTTTTCCCCATCCCCAATGACATCTATTGATCAAACAGGAGATACTAATTTCCTCTACACGTTTCAACATGTTCTCCCAAAAGTGGAAAACACAATTTTCTGAAACAGACAGACCCAACCTCACCGGGTTTTGTTCAATCTCACTTTCTTTGTTGTTTCAGAAACTATGCCTCAAGAGATTGAATTTTGCTGTTGCCACATTTTCACTCCCAAAAGCACAGTACGTTGAAAGGCATTTTCACAATTAACAAATCCCAGGATTGTTTCTAAAGACACAGAAAAACACTTTCCAGGCATTACAAGTAGAAATCAATTTCAGTAAAATTAAGTTCATGAAAATCATCTTGCAAGGGAGAATCTTTATGTTAAGATTCCGCATTTCTTTTTGCTTTGTCTACAGCATAACTAAATTACATAATCATTTTTTATTTTCCCTCTTAGTATCTTACCTCAAAAAAAAAGCCTTGAATTGAACTGAATTACACTAATAAAAATAGATAAATAAGTGAAAAGTTTCTGCAGCTCTGCTAGATTTTAATCCTGGTAACTTGTGACAAAAAATCTTACTTTACGAACATGAATTGACTTAATTTTGTCTATCTCCATGCCAGATAAAAGAAAGCATCACAAAAATATTGATTATCTTTGGGTTTTAATTACTATTTAAAAAAGCACTCTATTTACCCCTTCATTGTTTAGAATATGAACCAGCAGACCATTTCCACATCCAAGATCTACAAATGACTGTTTCTTAGTCAACCCTTTTTCCTTTCTCTCTTCTTCCCAAAGAATCTAAGACAAGGAAAGAAAAGATTTTAGACTTCTGCTCTCAAGTCTCCCTGTAAGAAAGCAGCAGAGATTATTGGAAATTAAAGGAGAAAGCTGGAAGAGAATGCAGATGTGACAGAAGACATTCACTGCAGTCACAGAGAAAACTTGACAGGTGGGGAAAAAACAAACAAACAAACAACAAAGAAACAACAAAACCACAAACTGTTTACAGAGAGGGGCAGGAATTATATCATCAAATCATAGAATAGTTACGGCTTAAGTTCATCTAGTTCCAACCTCCCTGCCATGGGCAGGGACACCTCACACTAGACCATGTCACCCAAGACTCTGTCCAACTTGGCCTTGAACACTGCCAGGGATGGAGCATTTACTCTGGGCAACCTGTTCCAGTGCCTCACACCCTCACAGTAAAGAACTTCTTCCTTACATCTATCCCGCACTTTCCCTGTGTAAGTTTAAACCCATTACCCCTTGTCCTATCGCTACAGTCCCTGAAGAAGAGTTCCTCTCCAGCATCCTTGTAGGCCCCCTTCAGATACTGGAAGGCTGCTATGAGGTCTCCACGCAGTCTTCTCTTCTCCAGGCTGAAGCGCCCCAGCTTTCCCAGCCTATCTTCATATGGGAGGTGCTCCTCATGGCCCTCCTCTGGACTTGCTCCAACAGCTCCATGTCCTTTTTATGTTGGGAACACCAGAACTGTGCACAATACTCCACGTGGGTTCTCGTGAGAGCAGAATAGAGAGGCAGGATCACCTCCTTTGACCTGCTATCACGCTTCTTTTGATGCAGTCCAGGATACGGTTGGCTTTCCAGGCTGCGAAAACACACTGCTGGCTCATGTTCAGTTTCTCATCAACCAACAAAATGTCAATAATTTTCTAAGTGCTAAGCACATCCTCCACTCTCTTCTGAGTCACTGAAAGCTGAAATTAATCAAGGCTATACAGCCCTGGGCTAGACTGAGTATAAATGTAAAATAAGTTGCTAGAACAAAGGGTGCAATGGATAAACAGAGGAAGCGGGGTAAGCAGTGCGTAAACTTCAGTAGTGTCTCTGCAACTAATACCACAGAAGCATTTACATCCACCGTATTAAAGAACTAGTGGCAGAGCTGAAAATAAAACCCAAAATGTTCTTTGTAAGCAATTGGCTATATATTGGCACATGTAACATTCTTCCAATACCTAAAAGGGGCCTACAAGAAAGATGGAGAGGGACTTTTCACGAGGACATAATAGGACAAGGAAGAATGGCTTTAAACTGAGAGTGAATATTTAGGTTAGACATTAGGAAGAAATTCTTTACTGTGAGGGTGGTGAGCCAATGAAACAGGCTGCCCAGAGAAGTTGTGGCTGCCCCATCCCTGGCAGTGTTCAAGGCCAGGTTGGACAGGGCTTGGAGCAACATGGTCTAGTGGAAGGTGTCCCTGCCTGTGGCAGGTGGGGTGGAACTAGGTGATCTGTAAGGTCCCTTCCAACCCAAACCAGTCTATAATTCTACTGAAACCCATAAACCCCACACCCTTTCTCCCAACATCTTCCTTTTGCCTTGTATGCCTATAGTAACTTCAGGTCATTATATTTTAAAAAATGTAATAACTATAAAATGAAAATACTGATTTTTTTTTTTAGGGAGGTTCTATTACTGAGAAATAGAATACTCTCAGCAAAGGCAGTTCCCTACCAGCAAGTAAGTGGCAATGGCAACATCTTCATAAACAAATTTCTCAGGGTCTGTCACTTCAGGCCATACCTTCAACAAAAAAAAAAAAAACAAACAAAACCTGAAATTACTTCAAAACATTCTCAGAGCAATCTGGATACTCATCCGTTTCAACAGGTTTCTGCACTTCACAAATTCTGTATTTTAATCTCATTAAAAATACACATAAAGAATATAAATAAAGACTGATTTTGTGAGTCACACAAAAGAATTGTGGCATAAAGAATGTCTGCTCTCATCCAATCAAGAAAATAGCTGCAGCTGTTCTGTAATAAAGCATGCATCCTTTTGCTTGACTCAGAAGAAAAATACTTGTATTATTCCTGTTATGTGAAACACTGATAACATGAACTCTTGTAAACATATTTTCAAAGTATAATAGGCATAGAACTATCCTGGCACAACAGAACATAAAGAATCAAAATCTGAAGTAGGAAGACAGAAAGTATTATCCCTATTTTGTGAATGAGAGAAGCAAAACAAAGATTGAAGTGCTCCAACACTACACTAACTCTATTGCAGAGCTAAAGACTGAACTATTACCTTTACCCAGAAGTCCAATTTCCCTCTCATTGTATCTTTTTGTTATCAGAAATATCAACAATAAAACCTTTCAGCATTTTCATAATATGTTTTACAGAAGCATTTACCAATTTTTCTTGCTTGTAACTACAGTCTGGTGTATAAAGATATAGGCCTTAATACAGCATTTTTCATTCAGCAGTTAAGATGATCACAGCCATTTTTCAGCATCGCCAAGACAAAACAGTATTATAAAAGATTGCCACTAACTCAAACACGTATTAATATAGCATCCAAATCTGAGTAATAGCAAATTTAACCTATTCGCAATCCAGTGCTGCTTCCAGACTCAGACTTTGGGGAGGGAGGTGCTTTACTTATGCCTTCTAGTGTGGATGACTTAGTATTTACATTCACTGCTTATTTTCTATCAGAAGGGATACATTCTGGGAAATACCTAACTCCTCCAGATACTTAGTGTGAATTTGGCTCCAAATCTTGGTTTTCCAGTTGAGTTCTTCCAAATACTAAATCGTTTTTTACTCCCACATACACAGAATTACAACAAACCACCACCAAACACAAAACCGTAAGACACAGATTTCAACTAAATCACTTCTATATTAAAAAAAGAATTTAGTGAAAGAAGCATCGTCACTAACCAACAGAAGATATAGGAATTATAGGAAAGCATATTATTACCTCATTTACTAAACTTACCTTTACCATCTCCCTGTATTTTTCTTTAAGGTCTTGATAAACCTTGCTGTATTCTGCTACAGAAATGAGCGAGAGCGTACTTTTAAACTCACTGGGCTTTTGCTCCACAGACCATTTAGCCAGTTTGGACAAAAGCTCATTTCCAAGCCATGTTAGTTTGGGGTATGCAATTCCATCTGAAAACCAATCTTCTGGAAATGGAGCTACAATAGAAACAGACCTTTAAAAATAAAATAAAAACCTTGTATAAATACAGCGTATTTCATTATTTCAGCTACCTCAAAGAGAAAGAATGCAATAATTAAGTGGAAAAAAAAATCAGCAAATCAAAGAGAGATACAAAAGTATACTGGAGAATAAGAAAATACATAATACACAACACCGAAAGTGAAGTTACTGAATTTTGTTAGACAGCTTAATATCTGCCTATTCAAACACTGCACCGAAGAGTCCATGCTACATTTAACACAAGGACCAAAGACTCACATATGATGAAAAACCTGATTTAGCAAGATATCCAAACACTAACTAGTGAACGTGAATTAATGCGATTTTCATGAAAACAACAAGAAAATTTAGAAGGACAATATATCAGTTGGCACGTTTCGTTATTTCATCATCTCCAGCTTTACTCAGATTTTGTTTGAGCTATGCCTGCAGATGCTCAGGACCAAGCTGCAATGATCTATGTTTCAATGACTGAAGCTCATTAAGTTCACAGCAGTTCCAGGCTGACTGTCAACCTTACCAACCCCCAGTGAACCTGAGCTCTCACAGGCAGAGCTAGTTGCTCATGATCCAAATATGAATACCTTTTTCTAGACGACACATGCTTACAGTCAATGTATATATTCAAAGTTCAAACAGATTTGGTTTGTGTTGCTTTGGGTATTGTAGATGTTTAACAAACACTACTGTCACTTACTTAAGCAGGAAATTACCTAGATACCTATACTAAAACATGGTGTGATCCATGAGAGGAAGGAATAACTCATGGTGTGCTTCCTCTCTCGCCTCCAGCACTTACCATTCCTCATCTTTTAGGTACACAAGTTGAATTTGATAAATATTGCACTTTTTAATCTTGTATTTTCCTTCACTGTTTTCCTCCAAAGGCAGAAAGGTCACAGTTCCATTGTAAACGTCTGAAAAGATACATAAACAGTGATAGGTTATCCCATGGTTCAAACCACCCTTTTTAGCACCAAAACAAACTTCTGTCTCCTTACTATGTAAAGTGCAAACTAGGGAGGTAAGATTTAGGACAACACAGGAAGAATCACAGTGCTAAGAATAGATCCATTTCTTGGTGTGTCTGACATCTGAAACTACTATCCTGCTTGAATTCCCAAAATTCTGCATTCTGCTGCATGATGTTCCCAGAATACCTAAGGCTGATTGTCAAGACTGTTTTCTTTAAACCTAACTATTTTGATAAAGTAAAAGCTCGACAATGAGATTTTTCTAGCACAAAACTGGTGCTTTCCCCTACCCTGCAGTAAATCCAGAGTCCTGGGAAGCACATTCCAAATTAACTGAAACTTATCTACTGCTCCAGCATCAGATTTAAAAAAAAAAAAAAAAAACGAACACTGCGGTATTAAAAAATATTAGTAGTATCTATCCATTTTTCCATGATCAAACACAGGATTTACTGTGTGAACTATGCTATGATTCTACAACTATAATAAAGCAGAGCTATGCTTCCCTTCAGCATCATGCAGCTTTCCTAATTCGAGTTCTTGTAAAAAGCACATTATCTATTCCTATATTAGTATCTTATGACTCTGAAGGGAGACTATCTGACAAGATCTGGTTTTAGGCGAAGGTGCGTGTATGACATTAATAAATTATGTTCAGCAATAACACTACTGATCTTGACAGAGTCCATCACCTCCAGAATAAAACACATTCAGTGATGGATTCCAAGTACTAGATTCTGGCAGAGCAGAGACGGGCTTACAAACACTTGTAGTCTTGAGTGCCTATACCATATTTCAAGAAGCTCCAGAACTTTGTCACATTTCATTCCCTAATATTAATCATGCATGTACCATAATTAACTCCTACACATGTAAAAACAGAGACAGACTGTGACCTTTTGAAATAACTTACAAATAAAAAGGCAACTGCAGCAAAGTACGAATGGCATGATAGAGCCTAGTACTCACATGCTACTGGGTTTTTTTTAATCTTAATAATTTATTCCCTATATCACTCTTATAAAGTGACTGTAAAAGCATTTACTATATTCCTTATGGCATATAGTATGTATACATTACTGCTTTATAAAACAGTTGCAAAAGTCTTTTTAGACATTTATCAAGGCCGATTTCTTCAGAATAACTTGTTAAGTTTTCATTTTTGAAAACATTCTGACAAATGCAAATCTTCAAAACTAAGAATGTTGTATTGGCTAAGTAATCAAATTCCAGTGGATTCCAAAATATTCTGAGACAGGAAAGCATAATTTAGCAATAGAGCAAACATTCAGTCTTGCTATCTCAGCCCATCCTTAGCTGATTCCCTGTCTTTAAATTATATTTTGAAATTTCATTTTTATTAAGATAAATTATTCTCCTAGGCTTTTGGTTACAGATAGCCTCTCTAGATGTAGCTCAGAAACATCTTATCATCAAAAGAAAAAACAAATTAAAACTGCAACATATACTTCTATGTTTTGGAAGGCATCATACTTTTAATGGAAGCCATCGGAGTAAGGATAATAGGCCCCAAGAGCATCCCATAAATGATTCTAGGTCTTTTTGAATTGTAAATTTCATTGCTTTGGAACTTTGATTTGTTTCAAAGCCTTACTATTACAATTTAATTCCCATCCACACTTCTCCCCGAATTTATCTTAAAAAGGTGCCAACTTCTACCTTACGTGTTTCTTTATGATAGTAGGATTTACTGCAGCATATTGCCATCATACAATAAAAAAAACCAAACAAACCAAAACCAACCATACAACAAAAACAACAACAACAAAAAAAAAAAACCCTAAACAAACAAAACAAAACCAAATTAAGTTTAGCTTCATCTTTAAGCAATACTAAACAACAAGAAAGTCAACACAAACAGACAGGTGCCACAACTGTCTACTTTTTTTCATTAACTGCATTTCTAAAGCCTACCATCACTCCTTCCAAGCCCATCATTACGTGTGCACTACAAGCAGCGGTTCTGTATGGGCAGCTTGCTCAGGACACGAGCGTGCAAGACCACAGCCCTTCTTGCCTCTTCGAAGAGGACAAAAAGATAAGTCGTTTTCTACCCCTCTTCCCGAGGAGCAGGGTGCCTAGCTTCCCTAAGTGCTTACCTCAGCAGCACCTTACACAGAACACGTTAGCTCCTCCCTTACACTGCTCTCCTAAGGCTGTAGGTGGGGTTGTTTAAATCGGAGTCCTACAGGTGTTTGGCCTCTGTAATTTGTATTTCAACTGCTGACACTTCCTAGCACGACAGAAAAAACGTAAAAATAAACTCTAAGCACACGACAAGGACAAAAACATCCACCTGCACTCTCACAAGCAGGAACAAAGTGTTATTCATCCAGTTTGCGAGACAACCTCGGCC